CGGCACGGTTACAGGGATTCGTCACTGGTCGGGAACAGAAGAGTTTACGGTGGCCGGAAATCAAAGAAGTCAATTATCAGTTGTCACCTAATTTATGATTTTTCCCTAGGCTAGCTTGAAGACCGGTAATCCGGAGTGGGAGAAACCACCACTACAGCTGACCGTTTACAATTTAAAAATAAAAAAAATGTCCTACTATACTCTGTTTTTAAACTAGGAGGAGCAAATTAAAAAGACGTATTCACACAAGGAAAAGTAACTAGATTCGTTACTAAGAGCGTGTTCCGAAATATAGTAGTGTTCAAAATTTGTTATTATCAGCCCTAGTCTGCGAACGAACAATGAGGGGTTAAGGAACAAATACATGTCAGAGGAGTGATTTTTTTATTGGTTCCAGACAAAGGTCGTAAATTTCACATTATTGTGATCTGAAAAGTGTGTCTAAAACAAACTGTCATTGTCAAATGAAATTCAATATGGTCGTTGATTTATTGACGTTATCAAAAATAAGTGTTTTTCTACACCCGTATTATAATAATGCACTTATATGCTCATAATCCGTTTCATAATGATACCCATTATGATACAGATTTTTCATTACGATACAGATTTTTAATCAATAGAAACCTACAATTTTTCAATCAAGCATTCTTTTTGACGTTTGTCCTAGGTTCCTATGTAATTGTCTTAGTTGTCAAAACGTATTAAATTTTCGTAGATAGCTAAACTTCGATAATTATATTATCAACATGTCTGATATCAGCGATATAGAAGACTCCTCCACACATATCGGAGAAAGGAGAAAATGCAGTACACAATAATTTGCCCAAAAAATCTATGGTAATACCAATACCCAAGGTAATACCATTAATTACAATTTTGTAGAATTTTTTATAGAAATACGAGTAATTACTGTTATTGTGTTCAATACCAATATAAATATAATATTTATAGTTCTTGATTATTTATCGGGTGTAGAAAAAATAGCGTATGCAACTCTCATGTAATGGTTATTAATACACTCGCCTAAACCATACGAAACTCGCATTTGGCTCGTTTCGTATCCCGGTTAATGCTCGTTTATTAATAACCATCATTACATGATCGTTGCATAATATACTATTCTTGCTTTAAAAATCGAATTTTTAAGGATAACTATGGTCTTTTTAAAATGGATATTAAATATTTAAGAAAATTGTTAAAAGAGTATCAAGATGCGGGTTAGTATAAAATATAAAAATATTATCGTTTTACATTTTTACTTTCCTATCTGTATACAGATATAAGGAAAGTATAGGAATCATGATTTTTTTCGACCTCGAGTTTTCGACGGATTTTTACGTTTTGAGGTCCCCTGAATCCGTTTTGACTATTTTCGCGATGATGTCTGTGTGTGTGTGTGTGTGTGTCTGTGTGTGTGTGTGTGTGTGTCTGTGTGTGTGTCTGTATAACGCATAACTCATGAACCGATACATAGAAAAACACCAAATTTTAAACTTAAGCTTTGTTTCAACGTCCAATGAGCTGATTAGATTTTGGGCAGAGTCGGAACATCTGGGGGGGGTACTTTATAGGTGGTCATTTTTATATTTTATGGAATATATCTGTTATTTACGTTTGGAGAAGAAAATTATTTAAATAAAAGTTACTTCTAATATAATTATCTATAATTTTTGTTCTATGCAAAATTTTCCTAAAATGGTCCGTATTCGAAAAATTTGACAAAATGTAAAAAAAATAATTTTTTATAAAAATTGTTCAAATAAAAGTTGTTTGTAATATAATTCTCTATAATTTTTATTCTATACATAATTTCTCTAAAATGGACCGTATTCGAGATATTTGAGAAAATGTGTAAATTTCGAATTTTGAAGAAAACTCAAAAACGGATAAAGAAAAAAACATTAAATTTTAAACTTAAGGATTATTTCGGCCTGACGTAAAATGATTAGATTTTGGACAAAGTCGAAACATCTGGGGGGGTACTTTATGGGAGGCCGTTTTTATATTTTATAGAATATATCTGTTATTAATGTTTGGAGAAAAAAATTGTTCAAATAAAACTTACTTCTAATATTATTATCTATAATTTTTGTTTTATGTAAAAATTTCCTGAAATGGTCCGTATTCGAGAAATTTGACAAAATGTGCAAAATTCTGATTTTTATGAAACTTTTTGAAATAAAAATTGTTTGCGATATCGATCTCTATAATTTTTGTTTATACATGATTTTTCTAAAATGGACCGTAATGAAAAAATTGTAGGAAATTTAAATTTTTCAGTATTTTCGTTTTCCATGAATATCTATAGAAAAATGTTTCAAGGTAGATGTATGTGGACAATGTATATATTTAGTTTATCCTCTAAACATTTATAGAGATGCTGCAATAGGTTGTACAAAATAACCGGAAAAGCCTATAATATCTAGATAGGAAAGTCATGTGTTGGACACATCAGATTTTTACTTTCCTATCTGTATACAGATATAAGGAAAGTATAGGAATCATGATTTTTTTCGACCTTGAGTTTTCGACGGATTTTTACGTTTTGAGGTCCCCTGAATCCGTTTTGACTATTTTCGCGATGATGTCTGTGTGTGTGTGTGTGTGTCTGTGTGTGTGTGTGTGTCTGTGTGTGTGTCTGTATAACGCATAACTCATGAACCGATACACAGAAAAACACCAAATTTTAAACTTAAGCTTTGTTTTAGCGTCCAATGAGCTGATTAGATTTTGGGCAGAGTCGGAACATCTGGGGGGGTACTTTATAGGTGGTCATTTTTATATTTTATGGAATAAATCTGTTATTTACGTTTGGAGAAGAAAATTCTTCAAATAAAAGTTACTTCTAATATAATTATCTATAATTTTTGTTTTATGCAAAATTTTCCTAAAATGGACCGTATTCGAGAAATTTGACAAAATGTAAAAAAAATAATTTTTTATAAAAATTGTTCAAATAAAAGTTGTTTGTAGTATAATTCTCTATAATTTTGGTTTTACACATAATTTCTCTAAAATGGACCGTATTCGAGATATTTGAGAAAATGTGTAAATTTCGAAATTTGAAGAAAACTCAAAAACGGATAAAGGAAAAAACATTAAATTTTAAACTTAAGGTTTATTTCGGCCTGACGTGAAATGATTAGATTTTGGACAAAGTCGGAACATCTGGGGGGGTACTTTATGGGAGGCCGTTTTTATATTTTATGGAATATATCTGTTATTTATGTTTGGAGAAGAAAATTGTTTAAATAAAAGTTACTTCTAATATTTTTATCTATAATTTTTGTTTTATGTCAAAATTTCCTGAAATGGTCCGTATTCGAGAAATTTGACAAAATGTGCAAAATTCTGATTTTTATGAAAATTGTTGAACTAAAAGTTATTTGCGATATCGATTTCTATAATTTTTGATTATACATGATTTTTCTAAAATGGACCGTAATGGAAAAGTGCTAAATTTAAATTTTTCTGTATTTTCGTTTTCAATGAATATCTATAAAAAAATGTTTCGAGGTAGATATATGTGTAAAATGTATATATTTAGTTTATCCTCTAAACATTTATAGAGATGCTGCAATAGGTTGTACAAAATACCCGGAAAATGCCTATAATAACTAGATAGGAAAGTCATGTGTTGGACACATCAGATTTTTAAGGATATATTTGTTATAGGTATAAACTTAAGTAAAAGGTAATCAGTGAATGGAAACTGGATTACAAAGTGACTATGAACAATATGGACGTTGTAGCTTATTTAGTGTTAACCCATAGTTAATACGCTAAAGGGCAAATCGAGGCATTCAAAAGTGTACAGGCCTATGAGTCAGGATTTGTTTTGAAAGTGGAACCAACATTTGCATAACACTACATATCAACATTAAATGGTTCTTGTTTTTTTTTTATGATTTTAATAAATAAAATTTACTTGAATATTTAGTTACTTTTTAATCATTTTGGTAAGAAATTTATCAATTTTTAGTTTTAAAAAATCAGTAATAAAGTTATTAGTCTTTTCCGGAATACTTCGGAATTCATCTCTTTATGGTAATCTCCCGTCTTTTTGCCTTCAAAACCAATAATGCATTTTCTACAAAACTTTCTTCAGAATCGGCATATAAAATAATAAGTCGTCTTCCCTTTCATGTAGAGCTTTGCAGGAATTGCTACCCTTAATAGTACTCTATGAAAAAGGATCCATAATCGTAGAAATTCAATACAATTGCTTACTGAAGTTGTGAAAAGAACTATTATTAACGAAATAAAGTAAAAAAACTAATAATAAGATATCAAAATATAAAATGTCAGAACTGTCAACAATATCATTTATTAGCTGCTGTTAATGCTAAAAAAGTGATGTGTGAAACTGACTGCAATCTGACTAATCAGAAGTCTACAGAATTGCCAACTTAAATCCAAATCGCTCCTCCTAGTTTAATAACAGAGTAAAGTACCTTGACAAATACAAGTAGATAAATAATATGAAATCGAATCTACAAGTGCCCATTCGGATTTCGGGAATTCCTGGGAAACAGAATTACGAGGGATCTTCTACATGTCCTTAGGCGAGAATTAATTGAAATATGCATTTTTAAAACTATTTAAAAATAACATTTTGGGACGAAATGGGACGAAACAAGAAGCTGCAGACTTGCCAGGAAGCTTTTATGTTATCCTGACAATACTACAGCGAACAAATATTGGACTATGACAAGACAGAATTTGCGCCTAATCACAGGCATTCTGACTGGAGATTGCTAACCACGGAAAGATCTCCATGTTCGACAAGAATTGGCTAACATCGGCCGATATAAGGGAAACACTTCTTGGCTACGCCTGTAGGCTGGCTAACGAGCTAGTAGCTGCCTATCTACTTAAAAAAATTTGTCTTACTTATACTGCAAGTTCAAATTCATATGTTTATAAAATAATTAAATCTGAAAACATAAAAATAAAATTGAAATTTCTCTTTCGATAAATTCTTTTTCATGTTTTAGGTTGTATGTACCTTTACCAAAGTTAACTTCTACATTGCATCGAGTGTCATTCGTTAAATACATTGAAATAAGTGAAGATATATTTGATCCTCATAAAGTGGTGGCACACGGATGCAATTTATATGAAGTAAGATTACACGAAGATCTAGTAATGGGGGAAATTTTTATTATAGATGCTAAAGGTCTTTCAATGTCCCATATCCTCAAAATTACACCAGCTGTGTTAAAAAAATATGTATTAGTGTTAGAAGTAAGTATTAGTTTTTAATGTTGTCATGTAATATCTACATTATCATGTTATTCATTCAAGAATTTCCAAAGATAACCTGAATCCAGATTCCAAAATATTTCTTTTTGCAAATGACAACCTTCCTCCATCTAAATCGATTAATAAGAACCTTTGTTCCTCAGTTTCTCCATTTTATATCTCATCACAGGCAAACTATCTCAAACCCTGTAGCCCTTAAGTTACGTTCATACTATGATTATACCCACAGGCTTCTTTAAAACATTAAGATGAAAAGTAATTTGTTCTTGTAAGTTTTATGTATTTACTCATCAAACAAAAGTATAAGAAAAATATCTTGTTTTAAAAATATCTTTCTGCTTCCAATATTTTATATTTTATTACTAAATTAATAACATATCTTTGGAATCCCTTAATTAAAATTTTATTAAATCTTATTTTTTATAACTTCAAATTTCTCTCGCCTAATTTTGTTTGTTTTTGTTTTAGAAAGTTTGGAGTAACCGATTAAAAGAAATTCACTGTATTAATTACCCGCCTTACATCGATAAATTATTGGCACTTACCAAGATTTTTTTGAAGAAAAAACTATATGATAGGGTAAGTTAATATTATAATAATCCTATTAACTGTAGATTTTTCTAGATGGGAGGTTTAAATATCCCACTATTATCCATAAAATAACAGTACCAAAATTACAAATTAATATAAATCTGAAATTTCAAATATTTTACGACGCAAAACCTACTTTATCCACATTTTAGTTCCATAGATCGAAGCCCAAGCAATTCGACCAGTTCGCAACAGTGAATACACGCAATGTTCGAAATATAGTTTTGATCATCCAACCAGAAAAGCATAAAATATGGCAATATATGTAATCAAATCGTTTGAATTTTATTTTGTGAAAGAAGATTATAATTGAACACAGGAGTGGATAAGGGTGTCAGTCACAAAAAGATTATTTCGAGAAAAACAAGTTTAAAGTTTTACATTTGCATAATGATGTATGGCTCATGATGCCTTCCTATCTAATGATTAGCCGGTATTTATCAAAATTGGAAATCAGAACTATTACAAACAAAAAATATTGGGAAAGCACCCCAAAACAGGCACATGGAAAAGCCTCCATAGGGTTGCCACATTTCCGGAAATGGAAAGCGTAGCAACCGTGACGATAGAGCATTTTTATATAATCAGGTCCAAATTTTGTGATCATTTCTAAAAAAAAAAAGGTCCTTAGCTTATTTTTTCCTAAAACTAGTCGAACACTTTTATATAATCAGGTCCTTTTTTCTGAACATTTCAAAAAAAAGGTCCTCAACTTATTGTTTTATATAATCGGGTCCATTTTTTGTGACCATTTCTAAAAAAAAAGTCCTCCACTTATTTTTCGTACAAACGAGGTCTATTTTTGTGTAAATCCGATTCCTCTGCGGCTTTTAAAAAGCGTGGAATTTGCATAAAAAGCGTGCAGGCAAGTCAAAAAGCGTAACGTCTGGCAACCCTAATCATGTCCCAAAAGAACTGGAGAACTACTCTTTATGAATAGGAACCAGTTGAAAGTGATAACAGGGTTCATGATTGGGCACGCCCCTGTAAAGGGACACTTGAACAAAATTGGCATGTACAATGGGGAACTCATGTGCCGACTATGTCACAAGTAATTTGAAACGGCCAAACACATACTGTGCAAATTCGAAGCTCTGGATCGCAAAAAACAGGCTCTTATTGGACAACCCCAGGTTGATCCAACAATGTATAGAACCCACTCACCCAAGGATCTGTACAAACTTTTACAAGGTACACAAAAGTGACAAAATGATTGCTATGAACTAACATGGGGTAAAACACTATAAGCCAATAGGCTTTAGTGTTATTCGGAGACATAGACAGACGAGCCCAGGAAAAAAAACAAAAAATATAGTATATTTTAAGTATATTGGGCCATAAAAATTATTTTTTGAAAAAATGTGACATAAGACCTTTATCCACTTGTGTCTTCAATTGATGGATCAAACGAACTTACCTGCTTGGAATTGTGGCTCAATATCTTACCTCTCTCCTATTGTTAGACAAGCGATACCTTTTTAAAGAGCCTCCGGTCCTTGATGAACTGGCTCCTCCTTCTCTGTTTCTATGTAACTGGAAGGCCTAGCAGGTTAAGGGTTACGTGATGAAGTAGAGGCTAAACGTTATTCTTGGCCTGCCTTATCCAGAGATTTAAAATTTTTAACGCGTTCGCCAAACTCTGGGCCAAATAATAATTCACCAGGAATAGTATTCTCGGTTCGTTCCTTAACAGATTGGTTAAATACCGTGTAAGTAATATACTTTCTCATCTTCGAAATATCGTGTGGAAAAAAACTGTACAAATTCGCGCATAATCTGTTAAATTTGACAAAATTAATTCCCTGGTCTCTTTTGGAATAGTGTTTTCATCTTCTAATACAGCGTTGAGTGCGTTTCTCATGGCAGTTAGTTTATTACCAATGTGCAATTGGTAAGTGGGTGGAATCTCTGGTTATATGGGTGGTTGAAAAAATGACTTTAGTTTCAGGCTTGCAATTACTGGGAACAGTTTGTTTTTTAGCGAGACTGGTAAGTTCTTTTCTGGATATTCCATTTGTCAAAATATGAGACCATCTGGAAAGTAAGGCATCGTAAAGTTTAAAAGCGGATGTTTTTAACTTCGTTGGATCGCACCAAGAATATTTAGCGTATAATCAGGCAATGTTACGCAGTCACCTTCGCTAAGAATTAAAACACCTTCGGTATTATTTAACGGTGTGCGTACCTCTTCTAACTCCATACCCGGCGTCACCTGAGATTCCGCCCTGCACCCGAGCGGGCCATCTAGACTTTTCTGACGCTGTTTAGCAGGGCGTGTGATGCGTTTTACCAAAAGGGGTTATCTCCAAATCATGCGATTTTTTAAAATGGGGATATTACCTGTCCTACCCGTTCACCAGACCCAACAACGTGCGTAAGGGTAAAAAAGACAACCGGTTTCGGCCTGAGATGGCTCTCGAAATTTTTATTTTCTTCTATTTTAATATTTTAGTCGGTAAATAAAGTGACCTTAGTCCTAAGGTAGCCCTTAAGACATTTTTCTATGTACTCATAAACCAGTTACTTGTTCCTGTTGGATGATGATCCTAGGAACGACACCAGTTGCCATTTAGTTTTTATAATAATGAAAGTGTATTGTAGATTGATTTTGTAGATTGTAATATTAATAATAATATGATTTGTAAGGTTTGTCATAGTCCAGGGTCCAACTCAGCATTCTTAGGTTAGAACCAAGTCGAAAACAACAATTTTGCTGATTCTAAAAATTATGCAGTCGTGTGCCAGCCGGAAATGATGGCCATGTAAAAAAAATATTAAATCAGCAAGTACCAGGAAAAACTATAGCCATCTACTCTAATAACTAAACAGCTCTAAAGACAATTCTCTCACCAGAAATTAAATCTCGACTGGTGACAGACTACCAGAGCTAAGCAGACAAGACAAAGTTACTTTAGCCTGGGTACTAGGCCACGAATGACATCAGGGCGACGAAAAGATCGACTAACTAATCTGATAGCTCAGATAAGGTCGTGACAGGCCCCAAACCCTTCTATATAATTGCTTAGGCATTGTGCAAGGCATCCATTAAATAATGGATACAGAAGAAGTCTTAAGAATGGTAAAACAACTATTTAAGGAACTATCTGACAACTTTACGAAGGATCAATTAGATAAAAAACGACAAATCGTTATGATAAAAGTACGTTTTCTTACCGAACAATGACGTCTTAAAATGTACATGAATGTCATCAATCTAAACGAAAAAGCCACATTGTACAAGTTCTGTGAAGAAGAAATATTAGGCTACATTGAGGAAAAGCCAAATGCACGTAACTACATACTACATGCGAGAGCTATTGTCTACAAGCTATAAGAAAAATATCCAAATTCTTTAAAAAATAATCTATTATATTTTAAAGTTGAAGGTAGTAGCCATGTGTGAGTTATATGTTCAAAAAAGAGGTAAATAAAACAAGGGTGGTCCTTAAGATCTCACAAGAGTAATTTAATACGACCGGTTTCGAGGAGATCAGATCCTCATCATCAGGTATGGTCTAAAATAGACAGGTAAAAACGAATGTGCTCATAACTAATAAAGTGGGTTTAAAAATTATGAAAGTTGTCAAATATCAAGAACTCACCCGTATTACTCATCTATTTAAGACTAAGCTTAGAGATTATCACAGGGTCGGTGTGAAAAAACAAGTATGCGAGTATTTTTTAAGAAATACATAAAAACAGTAATTGCAACAAAAAGTTGATGTCAAAACACAAGTAGGTCTAAAAATATTAATTAAAATTATTAAAATATTTCACGAACGGACAGACATTAAGACAAAACAAATTTAAAACTTTTTTACCCTACAAGAACTAAAATGGGTTCTTAGACAACATGAAGTGTTTATAATTCTGAAGGTATAAATTTTTTTTATTTTAGATTAAAGATACTAATTAACGCCCTCTAGATGAATTAACAATTCTAATATTTAAGAAAAACAGTTTAGAGGTTGTCAAATTTAAATATTTTGACATCGGCTAATAGATGGCGTTGGCGAAATAAATGTTTCTTAATTAATAATATAGGTTTAAAAATGAATTATTTGAATTTGTATGTAATAATAAACAAAATGAAATAAATTAATTATTATTGTTACACGTAGATTCTAGCATTAGCGTCGGAAAATAATTTTTAGATGTACTTAATATTCAAATTAAGAAGTTGGTAACATATCAACGGAAAAAGAAAGGAAAGTGGTATTAAAAGGAAAGAAAGAAAGAAAGAAAGAAAGAGAAAACTATTGATTTGGTTAGTTGTTTTTTTGAAGTAATGTGCTGAAAAATGAAAATGGAAAATGGAGACAGAATAAAAATAGGGAATAGATAAGATAAGTATATCTAGAGGGCGTTAATTAGTATCTTTAATCTAAAATAAAAATTTTATACCTTTAGAATTATAAACACTTCATGTTGTCTAAGAACCCATTTTAGTTCTTGTAGGGTTTAAAAAAGTTTTAAATTTGTTTTGTCTTAATGTCTGTCCGTTCGTGAAATATTTTAATAATTTTAATTAATATTTTTAGACCTACTTGTGTTTTGACATCAACTTTTTGTTGCAATTACTGTTTTTATGCATTTCTTAAAAAATACTCGCATACTTGTTTTTTCACCCCGACCCTGTGATAATCTCTAAGCTTAGTCTTAAATAGATGAGTAATACGGGTGAGTTCTTGATATTTGACAACTTTCATAATTTTTAAACCCACTTTATTAGTTATGAGCTCATTCGTTTTTACCTCTCTATTTTAGACCATACCTGATGATGAGGATCTGATCTCCTCGAAACCGGTCGTATTAAATTACTCTTGTGAGATCTTAAGGACCACCCTTGTTTTATTTACCTCTTTTTTGTATTATATTTTATATCGTTCAAATTAGCATCGGTAATTGAATCTCTTATTTAAAAATAGAGCGACATTATTAATAATAATTGTAATATCCATTTTTTAGATTCATTTGCATCCAAATATTGAGAGTTTATATAAACACATTCCTCGAGATATGTTACCAAGTGACTATGGTGGAAATGAAAAATCAATACAGGAATTATCAGGTAAGCAGTGCAGTATCATCGTGGTGTCAGAGACAAGGAAAAAATGTAACATCCTGCAACAAAACTATGTAAACGGTTTGAGAGCTGTCCATCAGACAATTCAATAAAAGTGTACTGAAGTTTCATCACAATGAATTTAACATGGTATAATGGAAACATGCATAACAGACAAAGACCGTTGGCAAGTTAAGAATTAAGAAAAATCTTCACAGAATATCCTCTAATTTAACCTATACTAGATACAATTTACAAAAGGGACTATTTATTCAAAATATTCCATGATTTAAATACTTTATTTACTAGAGAACTTTCTGCGTAACTGGATTTGTGTTTCCTTCTTTAGTTTATAAATAATGTAGCTAAAAGAATATTGTGAAGACCTTTTTGAGTATTGTTTTATAATGTAAGGTCTTCTTCATTTTTTTTTATATTATGAAAAGCATAATGACGTTATATCATTAATATGGATTTGCGATACCACTGATGTGATGTTTCGAATGGGGTGTTCATCACTGCGACCTAAACGATATATTGTGGCCCCCTTCTGTCGCAAGTGCAGCAAAGAAATGTCTCGATGCCTATAATATCCCTTTCAATCCTATCTTGTCAGTGAAGTATAGGTTTACATTGGCTTCAAGTCAGGTAAATCTCCCTCTTCTATTTGATATGGTCCTAGGTATAGCGCCCTTGGATTTTGGTGTACTACAATTGAGTCAGAATGTGAATGGAGGTTCCGTCCTCCTCTTCACAGAATCTGTACATAGTCGTCTAATCGTCAAGATAGTTGAACATTAAGTGAGAGTTAATTCCTAGAAATTTTTGTCGATAATTGACCTCAAAACCACTAACGATAAACTGAAATTGTAGTATATTTGACCATTCTGCTTAATAAATTGGGTTTTATTGCAAAACCTTTATGGAAATTAAAAAAGGATTTTACAAAAATAAGCCACAGAGCTCTACTGTTTTCCATAAAAATAAGTGACGATTTTTATTATATTGGTATAAAATTAACCCAACATTACGGTGTACTCAAAAATTTAAAAAATAGAAAGTTGCTCTGTTAGCTTAATAAACTTATGGTTAATCGACTACGGTAGCGTAGATGTCTACGGCGCCGCATTCATTTGCGAGACAATTTTGTGGTAAAAGAGACACCGGCTTTGAATTCTACAGAAGATCATGTGAATTTAATTTGTATGGTACTCTATAGAATTTGAGGGATGCCGTATTAGCAGAAATTTAATTTCTGGTAATATGGCATCCAGATTATAAAAATCGCCATGCATTACAGTTTTTGATGATGGTGGGTGGGATTTTCCAGGTTTTCCTCACCTGTAAGTCAAATGGCTCCGTCAATCATCTTTGAGTCGCCTCGGAGCGCCACAGAAAATAATAATAATAATAGCCATCTCTTCTCCTACACAAGTCGCTCGATCGACTTCAGGGGTTGAAATTCACTCGTAAGGGGGTGAATTAGGGAGAGTAATGTATAGTTATGACCTATTAGCATCTTCTTTCAAATTAAAAAAAAATGAGGATCCCCAAAATTGCAGATTGCATGTTCGAACACCAATAACAATTTTATATGGTATCCATTTTAGAGTTTTTCTTATTTTTTTATCAAAATAATATTTTTCGTTCCAGATTTATGGCAAATAAAATTCAAAGAATGTGAAAAGAGGTTCGATGCCTTAGAAAACATGGAAGTGAACGAAAGCCTCAGACCTGAAGTGCTCACAAATTCTGATGTTTTGGGATATTACGGCAACTTTAAGAAAATTGATGTAGATTAATGTGCTGGGATATAAAATGACAAAAATTAAATTTAAGAACTATTTAAATATATTATTATATTAAATTATTCGTTTATGGAGAACAGATATATGGACATTTAAAATTTAAGTTATACGTTTTTAGCTTATAATATGTTATTTAGTTATAATAAAATTATTAATTTTAAAAATTTATTTTTATAAAAATAAGTGCTGATAGAAGTCTAATTTTGTTTTTCTACGTCAACATCTACAAATTGTCAAAAATGGCACCTTCTAGTAATGCTAGTAAGCTATGTTTAGAATGCTTTAAAAAAATGTAAAATATTGAAAAACTAGGTATAGTACGAGCAAGAGATATAGTGTGACTTTAAAGCTTTAAAGCCAGCCGGCAACATAAAAAAAACTAAGGAAACTTGATATTCTTTCTCTTTCGCCACAACAAAGGGATTCATACATAGACATCTGCAACCGAAGCACAGGGACGGCTCTAATTAGTTGTATGTTGTATGTTATGCTTTAATGTAAGATTATTATATATTTCAAGTGGAAATGTTATACGCATTTAAAAATCACATTATTTGCATAATTTCCTAACTTCAAATAGGTGTTTCATAAGTGTTACTAAATATAGTTTTAAAAGACAAATTAATCCTTAATAAATATTTCGACTTGTAATCAAAATCACCATGAAACTATATTATTTTCATCTACTATTTATTTGATTTAATTGATGTATTTTAATATTACATTAAATATTAAAAATCAATGTAGAATCTTACGAAATTGCTTGAACAACTGTTATTTGTATCCTTTTATTATAAAAAAATTTAAAGCTTTTGGAATGTATTAATCTGGCTTTAATTTCTAAAGTGATTAAAGCACGCAAGCCTTCTCACCATATCAAGGTTACATTCCTAGAAAAGAAAAACAGGAACAATATTATGTTCCAAAATAACGTAAACCAACAGATAGGTGGTTACGTTTAATAAAGTAAAAATATAACTAAACTGAAAAATCAAATCTTATCAGAACTATCATCTTCACTTGACGTGTCATTCAGGTTTATAATACAAGTATGAACCGGAAATACTCTATGATTATTTTCAAATTTGGTAACATGGAGAACACAGATGGGCCCTAATTCTTGAGATATACTTCCAACAATTTCTCTGATAACATCTAAAACGCTTTCAGACAACGCAGGATTAACATTTTTTTCCAACCTCCCTTCTGATGTTACTTCAAATTAATTTTATTGCATTAAATGTACAATAATATGGTGGTAAGCGTATTGCGGTATGACTGAATGCCATAGCCATCTCAATCACAACATAGCTAGGTTTGAGATTTAAGTCTTTCAATATTGTAAGCAAATCTTTTTTTAAAACTGTAGGTGAATATGATACACTCATTCTGTCAAAAAACGCGGAAATTACCTCTTTTCAAGCTTTTTGCTTTTGGAATTTCACTAGTTTGACAAGAGTGGTAGGGGGCATTAACCATTACTATTATAGCATTTGGTGGCAATTTAGGAATTAATTGTTCACCAAACCATTTCTCGAACAAGGTATCTTGGTGATAATCTGCTGAACAACTCAAAATATTATTTGCTGATAATAGCAAGCAATTCGGAACAAAAACCGTTTTCATTACCGGCATATAATATTATAATACGTTTTCCTCTATTTGAAGGAGCCTTTATAGAACATTTAGCAGATTGATCACTTCATCCTTTTCTTCACAATATCATGAGTATCGTACCAAGTCTCATCCCAGACAGCACAAATCAATCCATTGGATGTCCATCGGAAGTCCATTCATGGACATATCGGCTGTCCAAAGGACGTACAGCATTTTTCCAAAGGACATCCAATGGACATCCACTGGACTATACAAATGTCCCACTCCTGGACGTCCATTTGGACTCCATGAAAGGTCCATATATGGACTCTTTTTGTATTGCTTTTGGACAATTTATGGACATCTGACGGACATCACCACCTATATTAATATGAAATAAAATAATTGCAACTATAGACTTATTTTTATTGTCATAAATAATATCAAGCATGTATTAGTTTTATACGCACTCCTTTCTATTGACTTTCTCAGCCATTTTCTTAAAGCTATTTCGCTTACTTTTTAAGCAGCACCATTGTCACTCTCAGCAGCAGCTAAAAAAGATATTACATTTTATACGAATATTGAGTCTTAAATCAATCGTTTAATAAACGCCTGATCAGGCAAAAGTGATAGTGAAAAATGTAAAATTTTTAGATAAAATATTATTAGCTAATATGAAAATATGCATTGATTAATGTACTTTACCCCTATACTTACATATAAACAAAAAACTGATCATTGTTTCTTTAAATTACCATTTTACTTTCATGCCATCATATCATGTGAATTCTTTCGTGAGGGTATTAGAAATTATGGAAACGAACCATCTTTTTATACGTTTGTCATGCCCTTGTCCCTGGTTTTGGTAACTGCTGAATCTAAAATTGCAATAAAAATATGTATTTGTAAACATAAAAGAGAAATAACTTATGAAACATCTTTCAATACATTATTTCTTAAACGTTACAAAACGATTCTGTTTTATTTAATAAAAGTAAAACTTACAGCTTCTTTAAAAATATTTGTATCTTCTAAATAGCCTTCTACTTCTGCTAACGTCTCATGCAGTACAAATAGAAACTTTTCTTTTGCTTTGAAAGTTTTCTCACCTCTTATAGTTACATAATAATTGTGTTGACATCATCTCGAATTTGCAGCATATTAGTTAGCTTTTAGTAAAGCCATTTTCTTAAATAGGTAGGTACATCATTTGACAAAATGTCTAAAAGAAAGGGATTGTTTGAATGTAAATCGAAAACATAAAGTTTAAAACATAATTGATAGGTTTTATTAGTTTAAAACAAACGATTTCCTTTTTAATTTTTAGATTTTTAAATGATTTAATTAATAATTATACTTATTTTCTTACCAGATAAACATCCATGTGCTGTGTTTTCTTCTTAACCTCTTTCTTCTTTTCTTCTTCGAGTCTGGCCTGAGTGGCCTTTTACTTTTCTATCTTGTCAACAAAGGCGAGTGGAGGGGAAAATTATTTGATTTATTTTAATTAAAACCTAGTAGTAAATAATTAAATTATACAAGAAGAATTATAATAATTTATTATAAGTTAGTCATTTTTATATTGTCCATCATGGACATATTTTGGACATCCATTGGACTTCTGAATGGGTATATCCATTGGATAACGGAAAACGGATGTCCAATGAATATCCATATGAAGTTCATGGACATCCAGGACATTATTTGGACAAAATATGGACGTCCAATGGACATCGTGTGCTATCTGGGATCAAGATACACTATGAATCTATCTTGCCGATGAGCTTCCTTTATTTTAGTAAGGTATTCATTACGTAAAATCATAATTCTTTGCGATTCCATAATATGCTGTTTTCTACTTAAGGTATGATATCTTAAACACACAGAATGGAGCACTTTTCTAGTGGTTTTATCAGATTTCATTTTTAATCATTTGAAAAGATGGTACAATATTATTAGAATAAAAATTATAAACCTTTCTTCTAATATTTTCCATCATGCAGTGATCTAGACTTACTAGAGACCTTTAAGTCGGCTTTTCTCTTGGAAAACATTTCTGAGTTATAATAACTTTTCTAATCGAAGGTTTAGAAATTTTTGTCATAACGTGTATTCTTTCTATGACACCATAATTAGATCCATTATTTTCCAATTTTAATTGGTGGTACATATTTCTAATAACTTTTTGGGTTGAGGGTGACATCCACATATCAAATTTTTGGTTATTATCATCCTCCTCTTCCTCCTCCTTAAATTCTTCTCTCGATTCTTCTTTACTCTCAGAAGAAACTGTGATGGGTTCTGCATAGAATTATGTAGGTTGAGTTAAGGTAAGAGCGCATTTGGGATAAACAAATCTTAATAACAATAGTCTAAATAATAACACTAAACAAATTCGATTTTAATGTAGCAAAATATATTTACCTCATTTATCATAAATCTCTCTCTCTATCTCTCTCTACCTCTATCTCTCTCTCACTCTCTCATTAAACAGTATGAGACAACAACTCGTTTTTAACAATTAAATTAAATAGAGGTCATAACCATAAAATAACTTTATATATTATACACTAATGAGCATAATTGTTCTTCTTCTTATTAAAACAAAAAAAAATGCTTTGCATTTGAACAGAAAGTGATAGTCAGTGGGCCCACTTCCATTATATACAATTGGAAATTAATTAGTTTCATTTTATATTATTTACTGGGAATACTAAGAATGTTATGAATTTATTTGGTACACTATTACAGTAGATAAGCACACTATAATCACTTTTTCAAACTGCAGTAAAACATGTAATCCCAATTTTTCATGCATACATTACTACTGACTAATATCCAAAAAGAATAAAAATGGTACCTTCAAAAACTCCATACATAACGTGTTTTATTTTTTTTTAAATTGTATTTACAAAAGTGTCATCATAGAACTTAAACAATCATGATTCCTATACCCAGCTAGCACAGACACGTGATTTTCACGTGAAATACACGTCACATTTTACGTCGAAATCACCAATTTATGACGTGCTAGTGACGTGATTATGACGGCAATATGTCACAGATCAAAGACGTCATACAGCGACGTGATAAACACGTCACCAGATAACGTGTTTAGACGTCAAAAAAACACCATAATATTCATTTAAAAATGTTTAATTTGTAAAAAAAATGTTTATAAAAAACGTTTTATTTAAAAAATGTTTAATAAAAATATGTTTTATATAAAAAAGATAGGTTACTGCATAAAATTTCTGAATTGAAACATAGTAAGTATACTAACCTGAACTATTACTAAATAAACATTACTTCTTAGAATATGTACTTACAAAAGTTAGCAGTGTCCAGATATTCAACAAATCATTCCGAATATACATCAGGCTTGAAGCAGCTTCAATGGTATCCTTATTAAATTTTCGTTTCACTAAAACAAAAATATAATAGTTATAACTACCAGAAACTTACATTATTTAAATAAAATTTGAGCCAAAAAATAGAGTTAGCAATGACCGAGAAAGACAGAAATTGTTTTATATCATACGTGATATATTTGATGGTTCACAACTTATTATTATATGCTAAACAAGATAAATAAAATCAGATCTGTCAGGAATATGTATGTTTAAATTATCGGTTCTGGTAAAGGATCCTGAGGTGCGAATTTCATAATTTTAGCATTAATATATTGAAGTAACTTACTTTTTATAATATTTTAACTGAAATTAAATATGGAAGAATACGTTTCATTTGCTATTTTTATTTATAT